CCCCCCCTTCACAGTATTCAGACTGTGATTTCTGTACCATTTATTGTATTTTCAGGCATGATTTTAAAAAAAATAAAGGCCACTTTTCAAAACTACTAAGACTAGTACAGGCCTATCCAGCAAACGACTCTATGTTCCATCAGCCCATCTGCAAGACTTAGTTTGGATACTACGTACAGAGGAGGGCATTAGGTGAAGTTTTCTTGGTCATAAATATGACATTATAATGCTATGTGATACTTGATTCTTTAGTAAAGCTGTATACAAGATACTGTTATTCTTTTAATGCTCTATTTCTTGTAAATTAAAGGGCAATAATGAGCAGCCTGTTCAGACCAGCAAAATAGGTCTGGGTAGAAGAGAGTATCAGAGCTTGCAGCATCGCCACCATTCGCAGCGTTCCAAATGCCGTCCACCAAAAGGCATGTACCTGACCCAGGAAGATGTGATAGCTGTTTCCTGTAGTCCCAATGCAGCCAACACAATTCTTAGACAGCTGGATATGGAACTAATCTCATTAAAGCGACAGGTACCATGGGTTATTGGTCTTGTTTTGTTTTCATCTCAGATTGTTCTGATTGTAATGATTTTTGAAGATTATCTGTGAAGATTGTGAAACCTCTTTAATGTGAGTCTTCCTCATTTTGTTCCACAGTTATCACCGGAAATGCTGGACACTAGTTTACTAGATATTCTTGGGGTTTGTTTTTTTGTGTTCGTCTGCTCTTGTGGGTAACATGAAATAAGATGACTTCCTTTTTTTTTTTTTTTTTTTTTTTAAAAAAAAGGAACGTGGGGAGGCATGGCATGAAAACAGCATTACAGATCTGGGGACAAGAGACAAGCAAAGTCACCTTTGATTTTATTTTTATCTTTTACACTGTTAAAAGCATTTGTGTGACAAGCCAGAATAAGACCAGTGAAGCAGTGGAAGTTACACATTTTCTGCTTAAAATTGTAGCTGGTTTTCTGGATGTCCTTCCCCACATATCATGAAAGTATGGGCAGAGGGAAATCATGGGCCTAGTTATTTCTCTCTCTGACTTGATGAGCTTTCTACTTCTTATTAAATTTAGAAAAGCTTTGTAGGCTTCACCCTTAAGAGGACAATTGCCTGCATCCTTTGCATGAAGAAGCGAACTTTTGGCACCTAAAATTGAAACACAGAATCTGTTCAGCTTCTAAGGGTCCATCAGTATGTGCATGCTTGCTTTCTAGGAGCAGTGGGGCTACAAAGCCACGGCTTATCTCCTGGGATTTCTGCCTCCTTATAGACGGCTGAGGGCTACCATGTTGCAAAATCATGGAGTGAATGAAGGGTTTCATGGGGTTTTTGCTCCCTTGTATTCTTTTACAGGAGAAATATGCTTCTTTCTGTCACAGCAGGACTCTGGGGCTAAATAGCATAGTTGTGTTTCACTCTTTAGCCTAAGTGTAGGTGAGTTACAGCCTTGAGGTTGTGTTTCTCTTTTTTTCTTGCAGTGATCTCAGAGAGGCAGCCTTTGGAATCTCCCACTGAGTTGTCTGCTTTTGTGTCCATACTTAATGAACACTTGTAGTAGCTGTGCACCATAGTATGCAAAACTATTTTCTTACCTCTGTTACCTTATGTGCATTGCTGTCAGGTTGAAGTGGTGAATGATACATACATGTACAATTTGGAAAGTCTTCCTTTTTCGTAGAACAAGATACCTTACCTTACATAAATATTTTAAATCATTTCAAGAATCACACTTCAAGGGAGTCAAGATGATCTAAGGTCAATAAAAAGCAGTCTGTCAAAAGGAACTAACTTGAAACATCTCATAAATATTTGGGTTGGGTTTTTTTTTCCCAAAGTGCTTTTTGGAGAAGGAAGAAGTTAATGTATACAGTACCTCTCACATAGATTTCTAAGGACCAAGTTTTGTGTCTAGAATATTCTGCATTCTTCTTCAAGAACATATGCATCATTATCAAAACTTGCTTGTGGTGTCCTAAATTTAATATTCCTGCAGACAAACTGTTCTTTTGAAAGACTGGCTTAAATATTTTTCTCTCTGTAGTAAACTGTGCTGTCTTTTTTTTTTTTGAACAGTTAAAAGTAGTGAAGCCTTAAACCATAATATTTCTCTTTCTAACTTAGGAGGTACACTTGTGGCAATCCTAGTGAAGATATATGTGTAAAGTGACCAACTTTCTTTGTGGAGCTGATTAACTTTGTTGTTTTTGACCAAGGTTCAAAATGCTAAGCAAGTAAACAGTGCACTTAAACAGAAAATGGAAGGCGGGATTGAAGAATTCAAACCTCCTGAGGTAAATCAGAATAAATATTAGAACATGTGGCCTTACGTTAGTGGGAAGCTACAGAAATGTGTTTTGCTGCAGCGTAGCGCTTGCGTATCAGCAGACCCTTAAACAGGATCCATTGAATTACATGCAGGGGTGAGTCTGTCTGGATTCTTTACAAGGAATTAGTGGTAGGCTTTTTATGGCAATTGGCTGCATAAAGAAGCGGAAGAAACTGAAGTGTCATGTCTGTTCATGACAACAGGGAGCTGAAATTGAGGCCTGATATATGGGTTTTTCTTCTGATTAAAAGTAGTTAGTGTAGATTGCTAGCAATAAACTGTGTTCTGTGTGAAAACATGACTATATATACATTTTGGTTTCCAAAGTAAATGATTTATTTTTACTGAAATTCTTCTTTTGTCTGCATAAAGATCACTAGCTTGTTCATAAGTTATGGTGTAGCTGATACTAAGAACTGCAATAAACCAGGGAGAACTATTGGTGTAGTTCTAAGCTCAAATCCTTAAATGCTCCTTCCCGCTTGTGAAAGCGATCTTTAACATGATGCATGGATATAAGCAAGAGATTTTTACCTATGTTACAAAATGTAGTGCAAGTGAAACGCATTCTGATGCTCAGGTATCTTGCAGCTGTTGAAACATTTTAATGATCTTTGTGCCATTTTTCTAATTTTAATAGTCTAATCAGAAAATCAATGCCCGTTGGACCACAGAAGAGCAGCTTCTTGCAGTACAAGGTATGTAAACAGTAGTAGCGACTTGAAATCTGATGCAAAGGATTTGAAGAGGTACTGAGGCTTATGTTTGCGTTTCCCTCTAATGAAAAGCTAAACTTTAGCTGTTCTTAGAAGAAAGTCACTAGGAAAACAGCAAAAATAGTGAGAATATTTAGGGCATTCATTCAAGGAACACGACACGAGTCTTTCAGTTACCCATATTACATCTTGAATAGAAAAGCTAAGCTGGGCTTAACAATTGTAGTCTTACCAAAAAGTCCCTTCAGTCATCTTCTGAATCACTTCACAGGAATTCCTCTAAAGTGGAAGACTTGAAGTAGTAGTTGAAATAATAAAATTTGAATTAAACACTTACTAAGACATCTCTCCATATTCCTGAAGTAGGAAAAAGGAAAAGTAAAATGGCTTTACAGTTACTTTTCGCTGTTCCTGAGGGAATAAAAGGGCAGATACCTGTCCAGTGGAAGCCTTGTAAGAGTCTGAAGCTGGACATGGATACTTGACTAACAGTCTTATTGGAGAAAAAAACCCAAACATTTTCTAGTAGGCTATCGATACAACTAATCTGCAGTTATTTATGTGAAGAAAAACTGACTCTTGTCTTGCAGAGACACGAGTCTACATGTACAGTCAAGGAGCATGCAGGGGAAATATCTGGAAAGCCTAAAGTTTTCTTGAAGTCACTATATATTTGACTGGCTTTTGTGCATCATCTTTTTTAAGATAATATAATCAGCTCAGTTATACACATCTGTTTTATTTCTGCGTTCTGCACCTCCTTTAAAATGAAAGACTGAATTTTAGCATAAACCCTTCAGTTTGATCAGGGTACGAGTGTGAAGCTGTGGGGTGTGCCACACGTGGTAGTTACTAGCCAGGTGACTGAACCTAAAGTTAGGTTTATATTGAAGTGTGAATGGAAATGCTGAAGAGCATGGTGTGTCTGAAGTCATGCCTCTCAACTTCTGTGCCTCAGGCTGGGATCTGCATCTCCAAACCACTTTCTGCCCTAAGTTCATCCTCTCAGTGTTGCTAACAAGCTCGCTTTTTAAAAATTTGTTCCCCAACGCAACTGAAGGAGATGCTTGCCTTTAATACAATAGTGTAGTAAGTAGAGTGCCCGCTGGGAAAGTGGGGAAGATCCAGGTTCATTGTGTCTGCCCTGGCATGAAAGGATTCAAGCCATCTTGCATTTTCATAGTTCGGTTGTCAGAGCCCTCACTAAGCATCAGTTTGGGAAGCAATAAGAGTGTGGTGAGCTTTTAGTAAGCTATGGCACTGTGTTACCAACGAGGTAAATAATAAAGCTGGAGCATGGGTATAAGAATGAGGGTTGGTAGTGACTCCCTGGAGAGGAGTTCTGGTCTGCTGGTCTGTTCTCTAGGGAGCGTTTCGTGTTTTGTAAAGGTAGTCAGTCTCACTACTTAAGGGTGGGTGAGAAGTCAGGCCTTCTGGAAGAAACGTGTTCTCGTTGAATTTACATGTGATTCTTACATTATTGCTTCCTTTTTAGTCCCCCTCTTTGCCACTGTATAAAATGGAGGTGGGTGAGCACCTTAACGCCAGGGACAAAGTATTCTATTATCCCACCCCTACCCTTTTTCCTGGTAGTAGCGTCTCCCTCCTGGAATGAGAGTGCTGTAGGTATTAACCTCTTGGCCCTCAGGCTGAGGACCCTAATCTCTTGCTTCAAAATAACTGCTTGAGCTAGCAGACATCTGCATGAAGGAGTCAGGCTCTCTTTTGCCCTGACTCTGGTTTTAAAAATAAAGTGGCCGTGGTTGCTGTAGTAAAAGCTGCCACAATGCGTGTTAGGCTTGAATTTGGAAGTTGGCTTGAGCATGGGGACATTTAGTTTGTACACTTAAAACAGATTTATTTCATCAAATGTCTTGATACGTCTTGGCATGTGCTTATACTAATTTTACAGAAATCATAAGCATTAAGCAGGTAGGTGGAACTTCTGAGACCTGTTCACTTGAATTCAGACATTAAATCCTACCATGGAAAGCACAAAAATAATCTGCAGTAATATAACATTGGTACTGTTTTCCCTAAACATGAAAAAAAATCTTGTCATCTGTGGGCTAATCTCAAGAGATTGACAGTAACTAGAGAGGAGGTAATGAAAAAACACACCCTAAAGCAGAGCTGAGTGTGTAACCTTAAAAGCAGTGTGGCTGCCTGCAGTGGGGTTGTGGACTCAGATTTATGATCTCTAAGATGATTTTCTGCAGTACAATTTATCAGGTTACTGTTCAGCTTTGGATAGTTATTGAACATCATGCGCCAATTCATCACTTATGGAATGTTAGAATCACAGACTGGTTTGGGTTGTAAGGGGCCTTAAAGCCCATCTAGTTCCACCCCCCCTGCCATGGGCAGGGACACCTTCCACTAGACCAGGTTCCTCAAAGCCTCATCCAGCCTGGCCTTGAACGCTTCCAGGGATGGGGCATCCACAGCTTCTCTGGGCAACCTGTTCCAGTGCCTCACCACCCTCTCCGGGAAGAAATTCTTCCTGATATCTAATCTAAACCTCCCCACTTTCAATTTAAACCCATTACCCCTTGTCCTGTCACTACAGACCCTTGTAAAAAGTCCCCCCCAGCTTCCCTGTAGGCCCCTTCAGGTACTGGAAGGTGCTGTAAGGTCTCCCCTTGAACACTTGAGGTGTTTCAAAGTTACAGACCTGATTTCTGTAGAGAAATGTATGAGCATGATTATTATCTTTTCAAACTAAGATTTCAGCAATGTGAAAATTGCAATTGCAAAAATCTTTTAAGATTCACTTAGATCAATAAAAGTTGAATGGGAAAGCAGTGTGTGACTTTCATGGCATTGCAGCTGGGACAGCCGGGATCTAACCCAATGTAAGGTGGTTGCCAGGAGCACCGTAATCCCATCGCAGTGAAACTGCAGCTCTCCTAACCTGGAGGTTACCATTAAGTGTTTTTGCCTCACTGTAGTGCTGTATTATTTATGTTGCTTTGGGCCCAGGCTAGGGTTTTGTGCGCCTGTCAGTGTTCGCTGTGCGTAGACAGTGTCAAACTTGGGTTTATGAGTCGCTCAGAGTTAGGCGTTCAGGATAAGAGGTGGTGATAGTGAGCACACACGCGTTCGAGTGCACCTTTGCAACCAGGTGCGGTTTTGAAGAGCTTGAAGGGTTCCCGTGATCAGGACTAGTTTCAAATGAGCCGGGAGAAGGACATTCATACATGTGAAGTGAGGCTATGCAGTCATCTTCTGAGCTTCACTTTTAGCAACCTAATAAAATGATTCTTATTGAATAACAGATTAAACACTTCAGAAATAATTTGGGTGGTGTTCAGCACAGAGTTTTTATAAGGATGTAAGTAATGTGCACTGATTCGAAAGGGATGGTGAGTTGGCATCGACTCTTACAGGTATGCCAGCAGCCTATGCACAAAGCTTTTCCTAAACAGGTATTGAACTTCCTCTGTTTCTGATGCAGGTTAAAAGGGTTCAACTACATGGTCGTGTTGATGCTCTAGCATCGCTAAGTGACATGCTGAAAAGAATCCAAAATGGGGAGTGCCGTGGGTAGCTAAACTAAGGAAATTTTATTCCCTTTGGCTATTTCTCACAGTTGGGCTCTCAGTGAAGGCAAGACACACTATTTTCAAGCTGTTTGCTCGGAAATAGGCTTCAAGATGTTATTTTTGACAACTTCAGTTGACATTAGCCAGCAGGCTCGGTTGTTTTGCGGATGAAGGGGAAGGAAGGAGCACAGACAGCATAGTAACAGAAAAGGCTGAAATCCCTAAAAGTCCAAATTAGGTTTCAAAGAGAAATGCACTTTGTTCTGCTGGGCACCGTGTGCGCTTGGTTAGTTGTACAGGGTGTCAGGTATGTGGCAGTGGACATTCAGTGATCACTATAAATTAGTAAGGGTGGTAACGGAAGGGCATTCTGAGAATATTAAAACACTGTGGGTGCATGCAGCTTTTAAGGAGTATAGTTGATACCTTGTAGAGCTGGTGACGTGCAGAGCAGTTCCCTGGCTTTGCTTTGCCTAGATACATGCCCTCCCATGTGGCTCTGCTAGATCTCTTTGTTTTCTTTCCAAGGTTCTTGCAGTCAGGATAGTTGGACTCTTTTGTATGCACTAGAAAAGATCTTAAATAATGTAGCTGGTCTCTTGACAGTTGAAACGGCAGCTTCAGCTACAGAAATTGGTACTATCCTGGAGCCGAACTTTCTCCTAAATGGCAGTGAGTGTACATTACCACATCAGAAGTGCCTATTAACGAAGAACGTAGAAAAGAGCAGAACAAGCTGAAGGTCATACTCTCCACAGTTAAGTTGAAAAGGAACATAGCTTTCAGATTTGAAACAACTGCCACTTTCTGAATCCTTCGCTTTGCTTTTCAGAAAGCGAGGCATGAAATCAGGCATAAATCTCTCCTCCTGTAATGAGTGCCTGTCCTCTAAGCGCTGTAGTATGTTCAGAATGAGTTTAGTTATCAGGAGCTTCACAGCAGAAGTCAAATTCTAACTCACTCATGCATAGCTGAGAGCAAAAGAATTGAGTCTTCTGTTTACAGACTCTGGAATTAAAACTCTGTTTTATTTCTTCCAATGTCCAAAAGCTTGGTCACTGGTGATTAAAAATGCACTTTGTGCAGCTAAAAGCAGTGATCTAGATGCTGGAGAGTTTGAGGATTTTCTTTCTTAAGCAAGAGAGAGGAGCAGCTGGACACATACCCTAAATACAGCTGAGAGAAAATCAATAAACTTTGGATCATAGTTCCAATTTTAGGTTAAAAGTATGGAATGCCATACTCAAGGGTTTTTTGTGTTATATGCAAATGTAGTTTTAGAACTTTTAAAAGTTCCCCTTGGGGATTTTTGGAAAGGACCAGCAGCATTTTCTTGTCAAGTGCTTGTAAACAAAAGTGACCTACTGACATTGATATGAAAATGAATTAAAAGAAGGATGCAAAGATCTTTTGTCCTGCCGCTTCTTGCTGGACAAGTTGATCCTGGAGCTTGGGCTGGGCTGTCCTGTAAACAGACACTGATAGCTTACATTTACTTACGTGCCCCAGGCTGGTTGTCCCAAAACCCCAGATTCTTCTGCCCAGCTCGGATGGTGACTGGAAGCTTCAGAAAGTCTTTGTCAGGTGTATGCTCACCAGTTGCTCTTTGTAGCCTTAGTAGAGCAAGCCACGTGTGGAGGAATAGATTAGGGAGCCGTCCCCCCCTGTTCTGCCCCGTGCGTGGCCCAGGAGCTGGTGCCCTCCGCCACTCCCCTGCACAGGCTGTGGGCAAAGCAATGCCTGCGTGCGGCTGGCACGGAGGGAGCCTACAGAAGCTGCCGGCACTTGTCACTCAACATTTCTAGTGTTATACCCTCTTCACAGCTCTACACACGTGCTCAGCCACCCTCTGTCTCCTGTCTTGGACTTGTCTTGGGCTCCTGCCCTTACTGCAAGCACACTGAAGGGTTTGCCTTGTTGTCAGAGGCCGGATCTCTGTGGTTTAGGCTGGGAGGCTTGGTGAGTAAGCCAGGATCTTTAAGAAGAGCGGGTAATGACCTTTTAATAAAGTTCTTGATTTGTATGTTGATAGCTGTGCAATTAAAAATTATTTTGCTGTAATGGAAATTGAGGCCTGTTCCTAATTGAGAGGTCCTCCTAATTAGCGAGTCCTTGGTTTGCAGCTCCCATAGGTTCTCTCTATAAATACATCACACGTAGCTGTGTCTGACTGATTCTTCACAGCTATGTTATTTACTTTGCCTTCCAGGTGTCCGAAAATATGGTAAAGATTTTCAAGCTATTGCAGATGTAATTGGCAACAAGACTGTTGGCCAAGTGAAGAACTTCTTTGTAAACTACAGGCGTCGGTTTAACTTAGAGGAGGTATTGCAGGAATGGGAAGCGGAACAAGGAACCCTGGCTTCTAATGGTGATGCTTCTGCTTTAGGGGAGGACGCAAAAAATACTTCTAATGTGCCATCAGGAAAGAGCACTGATGAAGAAGATGAGGTGTGTTTTGTGTACCAGAAATAAGTAAGCATGGGTTGAGGAACAGCGTTTTATTTAGCGATGTAATGTAAGGTTAACTGGTGTGGAGTGGCAAACCGCATTCTAAAGAATGATGATGAGCTTGCACAGAACTTCAGCCAGTGTCGTTAACCAGCCGGGAGCAGGACTGCACCTTTCTTAGTGCCGATCACGTTACTGTTTTATTGTTAAAATACAGTTCTCGTTCTAGACAGAAGACTTGCTTCGTAAATATCTTTTTAGTTCTGCTGTCCATAATGTTTTGGTTGGTGATTTCTTTTCAGTAACTTCCCAGTTTTTCGGTTTTGTTTGGTTTTTTGGTTTTGGTTTTTTTTTTCTTTTAAATGCTGTTTCCTGTGTAGTGGACAGTGGCAGCCCAACTGCACCACGTTCTGGCTGGGGCAGCTCTTTACACAGTCTTGTCTTTGTCCTTTGTGCAGGCACAAAGCACTCCGGCCACTCAGTGTTTAGGCCCTTCACCTCCAGCACAGGCATCTGCTCCGGCACCTACGGCTCCCATGGCAACTTTAAATCAGCCGCCCCCGTTACTTCGTCCGGCGCTTCCTGCCGCTCCTGCTCTCCATCGCCAGCCTCCGCCACTTCAACAGCAGGCGCGATTTATTCAGCCAAGGCCGACTCTAAATCAGCCTCCCCCACCGCTCATCCGCCCAGCTAATTCCATGCCTCCTCGTCTAAACCCAAGGCCGGCGTTAACCACGGTTAGTGGCCAGCAGCCGCCCTCGCTGATTGGAATTCAGACAGAATCCCAGTCCACTCTGCACTGAAGAAGTAAAGCAGAATTACGCTAACTCCTAAGTTTGAAAAATTCAATCAATGCTATGTACTCTTTTTTTTTTTTTTTTTTTTTCCAAACAATGAAGGGGAGAAAAGAGCTAAGCCTTCACAGGGATCACACCAGTTGGAGAGGAGCAAGCCAATAACTAGAAACGAATCACGTGAATGACCACCTGTATAAAGATATTTTTATGTCGAAGACCTGTACAGCAGAACAATGCCTACAACACAGCCCTCCTCTGTACGAGTAACTGTGGAAGGAAGCTAACTTCTTAAACGAATAAATGTTCAACACACCGAGATTTTGTTTAACTGATTTTTACTCTATTTATTTTATTACAGTTCTTTGTAGTCAAGCATCTAACTACAGGAAAGTAGTCTGGCAAATCTAGGAATAGATATTGTTGTAGGAGACTTAAATGTAGCGTTGGGTTTTTTTGTTGTTGTGTGTGTGAATTACTTTTTTTTTTTTTACTTTTTAGTGAGGAAAAAAGAAAAATGGCCTTAGGTTCAGAATTTTTGGCCCTGTTTAGGTAACAGTAGAAACATTTCACGCACTTGTAAAATGTAGTTGTTTTCTTCTCTTCATGTTTTTCCCGGGACACTTTTTTTCTTGTTTAAAAAGGTACTGTCTTAGTAAATACTCCCCTCAAAGTGTATGCCGAAGACTTGGTGAGCTGTTGTACCAAATTTACTCAATCTCACATGTGTTCTACTTGCAGAAGTTAACTGAAATCAGGAGTGCGCTTTCCTGCTGCAGTATCTCTCTGGGCTGCAGTGGAGAGAGGCAGTAGCTTCTACCACCCAGGGGCACGACAAGAGAGGAACCATAAAGCAAGAACCATTCATTTCATTTGTTATTCCACTAATTCTTCTAATTTAAGTGCAGTCGAATTCCATTCCTCTGAGAATGGCTGTCTGCAGTTGGTGTACCTTGGGTCACTGATACCTTGCCTGAGAATTCCTGAGGGAAGCGTAGAGGCTGGTGGTAGGATACTATGGCAGGAGTTACTTACTGCCAGCCCAGTCTTCCTGTTGAATTCTCTGTTTTCTTCTGTTTCTGGCAGAGATGATTAGCTGGGTGGAGGCAATTGTAAGGGTTTTGTTTTATTGACTAAGTAAAATCTGTATTTTGATACTACCACTTCCAAATCTTAGGAGATTGGAAGGTTTTCTTTCCACTGCCATCACTTCACTCCTTGTTGTTCCAGACCTTGGTTTATGCCCAGCAGTGTTTAGGGCGCTTTTTTTTTTTTATTGTCCTCCTTCCCCCACCCCTTTTTTCTCTTATTAAAAAAAAAAAAAAAAAACCACAACATAGATGCCTCTACCCTACAAGTAAAGAGAGCTTCTAATGTGAGTAGCTTGAAACTGTGATCTGAATGAAGCTGTTGGAAATACTGCCTTCTTGAGTAGGTGATGTCGTTTGTGTTGACTGCCATACTCTTCAGAACCTTAGTTTTGCTTATACCTGAAATGATGTTTAAGAATCCTTTTAAATCCATTCTGTTATTAACTAGGTTTGCCCTTGACTAAAATGAGACTTTGTTTGAAAATGGCTTTTTCACAGGTAAAGTAAATGGTCTAAGGATCAGTCTAGCAGCTGGCCGAGGTCTTTTTTTTTTTTATGTGCAAAGGGAAGTTCTTTTACCATCAGATCCTATTTCATTTGTAAATCTAGTATTAAAGTTTGATAGTTGCGGCCTGACTTGCAGTTACGGTGTCAACCTTTATGGTTTAGTTCTTCATTTAAAAATACCTTCAGACCAAATTTGAGATATTTTTGTAGTTGTTGTTCTGAACAGCCCTCACGGGTGTGCTGAGATCTCGTACGAAACATCCCTCTGAGGAGTTTTCTTTTGCATCAGAGTAGAAGTTTAGGCACTGGGTGAGCATCGGGTGTCCTCTCCGCTAAGAAAAGCAGCATTGTACAACCAGCACCGGGGAACTGGTGGTCACAGAAACTTGAGTTCTGGGAGTCCTAAGTGTCCCGTCCCCAGCTATGCACAAATCCGGCCGCTCACCAGCCTTCAACCCATACGAACCCCATCTGGTACATTTTTGACATCCTAAGTATCTCGGTTTAATCGTTAACAGCGATAAGAGAAATCTTCAGGATTTCTTTATCGTTTTTTTTTTTTTCCCCCTAGCATTGAGGCTCCCCGGTGTGTGTATTGTACCTTTGCTGATTTTTGTCTCGTCTCTTGTTGATAGACTCCAGTATGCAGAGTGTTGGGTGTTGCCGTGCAGCTGGCCACTGCCAACTGCTATAAAACTGTTCAGTACATTGTAATTCCGTTTAACCTTGTTTAAATATTCTATAACTGGGCGAAGGTGCTGTATTTGAAGGGGGGAGGGAGGGCCAGGGATGGGTAGTATTTCTGAATTTGCATACACTGTAGCACACAGTAGGGAACTCCTAGCATTTGTAGTACTAAATGAGGATGTACATAGCAAAATGTCTTTATTGTGTGCTTTGCAGAATATGTGCATACAGTTTGCACGTCCTGTTTTGGGGGGAGTAGGGTTTGTTTTAAGCAGTGTTTGCCTGGAGAGTGATATGCTTGCTGCTTAAAGGATTAAAGTTTCAAAGAAATCTGTGTCTTCTATTTTTATGTACCTTGTAACGGTCTAATATGTTAGGGCCCTTATACTGTGATTCTCTTCTAAATTCATTTATATTTTTTTAAGAATTAGAAATAAAATTATACAATGGTGTTTGGTTTCAGTGGGGAATTTCTTTTTGCCATATCTAGTCTCCTGTTTTGTAATGTAGTCATGAACTCTGACTTCAAGGTTGGCTTAATTTTGTCACTTTAAAAAAATGTAAAATGTTTGCACACTGAAGCTGGGCAGAGAACGTGTATCTTACATTGTTCAAAGCTAATGTAACTCTACAGCTTTTTGTACAGTTTATTTTAGTTAATAAAGCAAAATGGTACTAAAAAACCAGCAGGTTTTACAAACGCAAGGCATAACCGAAACGACATGTCTTCTAGGAACAACGCTGGCAAAATATGGATGTACAAGAACTATCAAATTGTTGCACTTTAAACCAGAATGGGTATGAAGTTGAGCAGGTATTTCTGCATTAATAAAACAATCACTAAACATCACACATCATAGTAAAGCAGTTTAATTTGTCTTACGCTTGACCGTGAGCAAAAGGAATTGTAGCTACCTCTGTCCTCAGGCTTTTGTCCATCTTTTATATCCTTGGGATTGTTCTTAAATCACACGGTGTTTATCCTGGATACCTCACAGTTCATGGAGAACGGGACACAAACCTTGCAGCAGCGGGTAGGAGCGGGAGCTGGTGTGTGCAGGGAGCGGAAGGGCCATGGTCAGGACGAGGGTTGCCGGAACTGCGGAGCGGTGCCTCTTGCTACCAACAGAAAGGAGCAGGCTCGAGCGATGGCTGGCGTCAGAAATGTGGTTGTCTGGTAAAAGCAAAGCCTGGGCGAAGACATCCTGAAGTTGCTTGCTCAGAGGGGCGGGTCAAAAGGCAAAGGAAGCCGTAGAGGAGTCGGCAGCTGTCAGGGCTCCAGTGCAAAACGGTGCGCTGAATGCAGCTTGGTAGTTTTAATCAGTGTGGTGAACCTCTAGCTCTTCCTGAGGTTAAAATAGCTTAACCTCAGCGTTTGCCTTTTTTCTGAGTTAAAAGCAGGTACGATGGTGAAAGATACAACTTCCTGCAATCCTAAAGCAGGTATGAGCAATATAAAAAGCAAGCATAAATTCTTCAACACCACTTATAATCTGTTACCCATGAATTCAGCATCAAAAATCTACAGTCAGGTAGGGAGGAGGGGCAAAATAATATGGGTTATGGTGTCTGGACTATTTAATAAGTAACTGGTCTGGTTTTTGGTAACACATCCTTACGTTGATGCTGAAGTGCAACTTGAGGAAAAAAAATGGCTGCATCTTCACTATTGGCAAAGGCTGCTACGTCTCAGTCGCCTCAATTATTCTTGAATCTTAAAGCTCCTTTGCAGGGTAGTTTTGTACACTGCAGTCATCCTAGCAGCAAAATAAACCCTCATCGCTGTTAGCTGACTTGGAAGTTTTCCCTTGGACTGGCACACAAGGAAGCGCTCAGATTCAGGGATTGTGATCCCTGCAGGGATATGGCTTTGCGCGAGTGCAAACCAGGTGCTTGTTAGGCTTACGGGGTCTGGAGAATTGTGATTCTAACAGGTTTGCCGGCCCCCAGTACGCGATGATCCGTTTGAGGGATCTGTTGTCACCACAATTCTCCCCGCTCCAGGGAATTACAATGTTCTGCAAGTAGGAGGATGCAAATACCCACCTTGGGAAGCCAATCCCATCTCCAAAGAAACTATGTTTAGAAATATTTCCTTACAAAAATGTAGTGCCTGTTGTTCTGAGGGATGATCCTCTGACCTTCTCAGACAAGCAGTAGCCAGACTAACCAGGATATTCCTAAAGGCTAAGAAAAAAACCTCAAAACAGTAAACTTTTGCCAGAGGGAGTGTTTCAGGTGGTCTCTGTTGCAGTGATGGCCTCCACACCTTTGCTGGACTCCCACAGTTGTAACGCAGTATGGATGGGTGCCCTTGGGAGTGGCAAGTCGGAGTCATTAAAAAAGAAGAACCGAAACCATTACATTACTACTATTTTTAAAGCTCATCTTAATCCAGGTAACGCATCCTGACTTTCTTTTTCTGATTGTTTTCTTGTTTGCCAGCCTTAGTGCATGATCTATCACAGTATTTTCCTTGGAGGCTGGTTTTCCTGGACGTGGTTTAATGTGAAGGACAGGACGAAGGGCAGCCACCGGCGATGGGTCTGCAGTTCCAACCGAGCTGTTGGCCGGAGGATGGCTGTGCTGGCTGCCTCGCTAAAAAACCCCGTGGTGTGTCTGGAGGAGTGAGCGATGAAGACTGGCGTGTGACGATCACCAGCGTGTGCTCTTGGCGTGTTCCGCGTGGGACTGGCTGTGCCATTGCCCTGCCGTGGGTGTAGG